ATCGATGCATCGATACAAAACGATTATTATTTACACCCCTAAACAGAACTCAGCTGCCCTAAGAACAGAAGTAGTTGCACCTGAGTCTACCATAAATGATATTTTTTGATTGCAAACAGTTATTTCAAACATTGGAAGTGCTTTATAGGCCTCTGAGTCAAACTGAGCATATGTTGAATTTTGTTTCTCAAATTTCTGCTCTAACGCAGAAATAGCACATGTCAACTTGGTCAAGTCATAACAAACATCAGAATCACAACAGTCGCACAAAGCAAGTCTTCTTTGCAAGAAAAAGAGCTTGTATGTGTTTTTGTTTGTATGCAATGTGGTGTAGGAGGAAAATGTGCATGTGCATTAAGGTTAGATTTTTGTCATGTTGATCTTTGTGGAAAACGCTTTTTTAATCTCACCTATCAGTCCTTCGATAGCAGCATTGTAGGCAGCATTACTTCTGTCTGCCCGGTCCACATGTTGTACACGCAGGTCGGCTGCAGGCAGTTGGCTGTGAATTTTAGCCAGGTCTGAGGCGGTCAGTTTACGTGCCAGAATCCTGCGGATTTCTGCTCCAGTGGGACGGAGTTCATCAGTGAACTCCTTAAAAGCAACGGCAAATCTTTCCCCAGACAAAGTCGGGTCTGGTAGACTTTTTGCATTTTCCTCAACGTCCTGAGCTGTCCATGGTCTAAAAACCAGTTCATATTCACATGGTCCGACCACTTCCATCATGGGTGCAGTATAGTGGATGTTATGTTTAGCCTTTCTTGGTAAAGGATATTTAGGCTCAGCCTCTGTGCTGCTGGGTGGTGAGGCTGGTTGCGATGCTGCAGCTTCCTGTTTGGGCTCCTGTGGCAAGACTCCAAACACCCTGGGAAGTGTGGCAACTCCTGAGGCTGCCGCAGTACTGCTGTCTGGTCCTGGATGAGCTTGCGGTTGGGCGAGGGGAACAAAGGGGCAGATGTCCATATCATCCACCACGGCTGCCAGGGCTTGCAAGTCAGGATATAAAGGAGCAGAACAAACAGAAGGATTAGTGTTTGGTTTCGGGTCATATGGTGGAGGATGTTTGGGTGTATCTGCGTGTGTTTCAGGGATCCCACTCTAGATTACCAACGTCTCAGTAAAATTCAATGCCTTCTGGTGGCACCTACAACCTAACTCTCACTGCTTAGAAAGAGCCTCACGTTCCTATGCGAGGTCTTTTGATTCACAGGTGAAAAAAAACCTGAATTGCCTTTCTGCTCCCCAAAAAGAAAAGTTATTTTTATTTTGTATGAATATTCTTTAGTATTATACAAATTTTAGTGTTTTATTTTTATTTTATTTTAGATTTTTATATATATTTGTATTTTTTAATGTTTAACCTAATAATCTTTAAGTTAGTTTTAAAGAAAAAAATTATTATTTTTTATTTTAATATTTTCCTGTAATTGATTGTTGAAGTTATCCTATTTACTATTATTTTATTATGGAGAAGTAGAGGAGTTTTTCTGAGCTCGTTTTTTAGTATTTAATTTCTAATAATCTTTAAATCTGTTGTTTTGCAATTTAGTTTTTCAAATTTGATTTAAACTGTGCCAACAAGAGATTAATCTCACCATCTCAAAAGGGAATGGTTCGTTTTGATCCTCCCGCTGACCTCCAGGGACCTCGATGCCAAAAGTCCTCACTCCCTTAAGCGTCTACACGGGGTATTGAGGCTGGAAGACTGCTTCCTCCAGGTGGTGCCTAACCCTTCTGACGATCGCTGTCCTCAGAAAAAATCAGTCGTAGGAGAATCCTGTTTGTGACGCCAATTGTTGTGTGAAAAATGTTTTCAACTGTTTAGTCCAGATAAATGAAGGAGATCGATGGATTTACTCAGTCGGCACTTTATTTACTTTGCAAAGTAAAGGAGAACAAGACATTCACATTCACAGCATGATGGTCTGCCAAGTTCTAACCTTAGACAGAGCTGTTTCCTTGCTTTTAAGGCAGAGTCAACACAATGTAAAACAGTTACCTTGAAAAATGATGTGGTTTTGTTATGGGAAAAAGGTATGTTTTGTCTATAACCATCTTTCACTCAGATATTTTGTGGCCTTGCAAGTGAGAGAAACTAGCTGAGAAAAAACATTTCTAGAGAATACATAGCATACTTCAAATACTGAGAAGGAAGGAACAAAAATAAAATTTTCCGACCACACTCAGAAACTGATTAAATAGATTTTGTTGAATCTCTGTCAAATGATCAGATCCTAAAAACACATTTGAATATTTTATTCATGATCAGAGATTTCCAAAAATGAGATAAACATTGATCGAGCTGTAACTTCCATTTTTCCTGCTCTGAGTCAGTATTAAGGTTTAATCGCTATCTTTGGTCTGGATTGATCCGTTTCTTTCTGTTCCTGTGATCAAAGACACACCAGGCTCCATCTCTGCTCTGAAATCGGCCCTGTTTTCCTGCTGCAGGGTTATTTGCTTGTTGTTGTTTTTATTTCTGTGTAATGATGGAGGCAGGCCCACATCCCTGGACTGAGCAGCTGTTCTGCCCATTAAAGAAGAGACAAACTGCCAGTCCATCCCTGCATGGAGTTCCTAGTTCACAGTCATGGGGCCCTGTGTTCCTGAACAAAGTCCTGCCCTCTGGAGGCCAATAAACAGACTTTCACCACTTAGACATCAGCTAGAAAAGAAAAGTTGCTGCTCTGTGCAGATTAGCTGCTAAAATAGCCACTTCCTGTCAACTTTCAGCTGAAATCATGGCACTCTGCCTTACATCGCCTCCCTGATCAGAAAAAGTGGGAGGTATTTACAGTAACTTAGAAGAATGGCATGAAGTGAGAAATATGACGAGGGAAAGTAGATCACCTGGTTAAATCCGCATTTCTTCTCTTCAGCTTGGAGCTCCAAATAAAATAGTTGTTAGGAGTTATTTTATTTAAAGGGCCTCTAGCCTGTGAAATCAACTTGTTAAAGTATTTAACTAAGTGAAGGCCCTGTCTTGCAAACCTTACTTTCATTTTCCACCTTTGGAGCCGTTCGAACCCGTAGTTTCTAGCGACTCCTCTGGGCTTTATCTCCATCTCAGTATCGTAGCAGCTGCGTACCGGTGTTATACTATATTCAGTGAACCTGGCCAAAGGGAGAATGTGTTCAGTGATGCTGTATGATTGGGCCATCACAGTGTCAGTGAGGAAAATAACCAATGGTCCTTGGACTAGTCTTTATCACGTGCCGGGGGTCACATCTTCTGCTGGAATGTTTTCATGGAAGGTTTTAATCTGCATCCTGTTGAATTCAGCTAAAATCTTTTATTCTTTATTCAGATTTAGGAATTGTAGATTGTCAGAGATCAGCTGGGCTTCTCTGGGCTCAGCTCTGAAGTCTAATCCATCCCATCTGACAGAACTGGACCTGAGTTTCACCAACCTGGACCCTGGAATGAAGGAGCTCAGTGGGTTTCTCCAGTCTCCCCTCTGCAAACTACAGACATTGAGGTCAGATGTAGAATATTTGTTTATTTTAAAGTAGCGCTACCACAGGTCATTCATCCCTTGTGCCACCAGACTCTACAATGCAACACTACAACGACAATAACTTGTACAATATCTAATGTGCAATTACTATGCCCTGTACATTAACTTGTTTCTTTATATTTGATACCAAGTGCAATAGCTATACAGAGAAATACCCATCTATATAAATACCCTGTGCAATACCTCTGTATAATAATCCTGCTTGAAAAAAAAAAAAAAAACGTCAGCTGCCATATATATATAAGCACTGTATATACTGTTTAAATCATGCACCTTTTCTTTCCTTCTGTCTGGTGTGTGATTTCTCCTCCTTCTCTCTGCTGAAGTCAGCGGGTCTTTATTGGAGCAGCAGCATGTTGGCATTAATATTAATGAGAGCTCTTTAACTG